ACTAATCACTGTTCCATGAAGGAATGAACAGGTGAACATCCAAAAAGGGCAGCGTGATCTGGGGTGTCATTTTCTTCATTCTGAGCCTCTTTGTCCACAAGGAGAGCTCCGAGTGGGGCCCATTGACCAGGTCCCTCCCCCTGTCCTCACCTCTTCTGAAGCTCTGCCCAGGTTTCGTGTGTGGTGCTAACAATCTGGTACTCGAGGGAGGACCCTCGGCACGCAGCAGTCTCCCCCGACAAGCCCGCTTCTGCCCCAGCATTCACGCTCCCAGCCGCCTGCTGCTTCCTGACCTCGATGTCACTGAAGACGGCAGACACTTCCACAGCAGCGTCTGGAAACAAACAAGGTACCTGAGGTTCAACCAAGAATCCCCTCTGAAAAGCTGGGAAATGGCATGGAAACGGAACGACTGAGCCCTAGCTCGCCCCAGCTCGCCCCAGCTCTCCCACTCAACTGAATCTCAACCGAGAAGCTAACTCATCAGCTGACATTTTGAGTGTAAATTACTCCTGAGGACGTTTGAATCCACCCAGGGGCTGGATAACAGGGATACTGTCCTAACCCTAAGGAATGATGAGGTCCCCTGTGTGGGTGTCTCAGCATGTCTTGCCGGCTGCACCCCTTCTCCCTGCACCCTTGTTTTGCAGCCCCTGCCTCCTATGCCCCTGGCTGACAATACCTGGGACCGAAGAACCTGGTTCGATTATGTGCATGAGGGAGACGTCAAGTGGGACATCGGGTAGTTGCCAAAACCGAGAGCGAGCCTTCTTCCTCCGTATCAGAGAAAACCGGCGTATCTTGGCGGCGCTCACCAAGCATTTGACAGGTCTGAGCTCTCGGTCTCCGATCTCTTTGACCAATTTCTTGGTTGTTCTCTCAAACATGGAGGGCATGTTTCTAGCGGCAGAGAGAAGGGAAGCACAAAATCAGGTGGATCTTACAGATTAGATTAAAAGAGTTTTCCCGTGTCATGTAGAGAGAGTTGGCAGTGGCTTGACTGTGTCATAGGCCTTTGTTGTATCTAAACAGTGAAGTCGCATGTGCAAGTGAACCCTGTTAACTCTAATGGGCCCTGGGTCTTCCTTCAATAACTGTCCTCAGGATGGTCTTTAGTGAACAGATGAGATACCTAGACCTGGAGTCCCTGCTGGGTCAGGGGACCAATGAGCACTTGCTTAACTTGTTGGAAGTGCCGAAGAGGAGGTAAGTTCCCCTCCAAAACCAAATGTACACACTTCCTTATGCCACCACAGTTCCCATCAAGCTGGCCACACTGTACGATGGTTAGTCCCCCTGGAGGACTGATTGTTAGTGTGTGTGAACTACCCGTGTTCAGTGCTGCAAAGCCCTTGCTTTTTAAGATCTTACCGAGCCTTGCTGTGACTGAAACAGAACAAGAGTGTGGCTGTCATAAAGGTGGGCATGAGATGGTTAAATAAAAGCCCGGACACCTGCACTGTTGTGCTAAGTGGACCCTAACTCACCAGAAAATTATGAAGTGCCTCATACTCCTAAGTGTCAGGAGCTTTGGATGGGTAATTGTCAAATTGTTATCATCAACCTGTAGTCCTCAACCTGAATGACACTTTCATTGTGCTTTTAAACACTTCCCATTTCAAAGAATGACGTCAGTAAGGTGGCAGAACAGGACCTTTCAGCCCTCAACCCTCCACAGAAACACCAGTTCTGACAACCATCTGTGGACCAGAGTTCCAGAGTGTGCTAGACTGGAAATTTTTAAACTAAACCCCTGTGAGGAAGTTTTGAGAACTCTAATCACAAGGCTTATAGGGGACTTTCCGAGATTTGGTTTTTTTTTGCTCAGCTAACTGCAAAATTAGCTTATGTAACTCGCTTGCTTGCTCTGCATGGTTGTCTATCAGGATATGGTTTCAGCCTTTAAAACCCCAGCTCTGCATCTGGTCGGGCTGCTCTTTGGACTCCCTGCGTGGAGAAAGGGTGAGGAGTCACTGGCCAGTAATAAAGGCTCTTAAATTCTAATTGGAGTGGACTCTTGTGGTCATTCGGTCGCTCGTACTCCACAACACCTGGAGGCCCCAGTGAGATAGACCGGCCATTGACCGGTCCCGAATCCAGAGTCCAGGGAAGACACCCAGACTCTCGGACCTAGGGGGAGATCTCTGAGAGACGTTCCTCAGCCCCGGGACCGATAGAGTTTGGTGGGTCTGTCCGAAAATTGTCTAATTGACTTCAACTGGAGCCATCGGGATCTGATTCTTACCGGTAAGAAGACTCAATTCTTTTGAGTCCTGATTCGGGTTCTGTGGGCCCATCTGGGGTCTCCGGAAGGCTGGACATAGCATTACTTCCGTTGAGCCCAGATCCCAGAGCACGATGGTGCCCGGCGATCCTGAGTCTGGTTGTCATTTGTTTTGTCTGTCTTGGTCTCTGTGTTCAATTTATCTTTATCGTTAAAATGGGACAGTCTGCTTCTGGCACTGTTTGCACGCCTCTGCAATGTTTTTTGAAAAATTTTCAGGACTTCAAACAGAGAGCAGACGACTACGGAACCCCTGTTAACACTTTTGATTTATGGAAGTTCTGTGAGCGGGAATGGCCCACCTTCCCGCAGACTGAGTGGCCCCCAGAGGGTCAATGGACCTTGGATGGACCTTGGATTGGCATATCAGGTCCAGGCTGTAATTTTGGGAAATCCCGGACATCCTGACCAAATTCCCTATATCCAAATTAGGATAGACATTTTGACAGATAACCCAAAATGGCTCCGGGATTGCCAAAAGCCTCCAGAAAAGAAAAAGAAATTGGGCCAGAGACCGACTGTTCTCCTTAGTAAGCCTCCCAGAGGGACTGAGAAACAGCCTCTGGTTCTACCACCACCCCCACCTCCCCAGGGTCCCCTCGTGGCGGATCCTCCCCCGGACCTGGTCCCCCCCAGTTGCGGATCCCACTGTTACTGTTTGTACTCCATTTTCATGTTTCTTAAAAAAATTTTCAGGATTTCAAGCAAAGAGCTGAGGGCTACAGAGCCCCTGTGAACGCCTTTGATCTACAAAAATTCTGTGAGAGAGAGTGGCCGACACTCCCGGGCATAGGATGGCCCCCGGAAGTGTCAACAGACCTCGGCCTAGCCTATTTGGTCCAGAGAGTCATTTTTTGGGGACCCCGGCCATCCTGACCAGATACCATAGATCCAGATTTGGGTAGACATTTTAACAGACAATCCCAAGTGGTTGAAGAACTGCCTGCAGCCTCCCTGGGGAAGAAAACCAAGAGCGGGAAGTCCATCCTTCTGACCCGATCTCCCCCAGAGAGAAGAAGACCCCCGTTTTGCCTCCACCTGTGGAGGATCCCCCCACTGTACCCCTCCACACCTCTGCCTTCCAGGCCAGAACCCCAACCCCTGTCGGACCACAGCCTGGCCGCCCCATCCCCAGATCAGGGCCTCCCGGTGAGCCCGCCACATGCAAGGAGTGGCTCCGCTTAGCAACCTCCCTCTGAGGCAGGTCTCATCACCCCTAGGGGAAGAGACCCTTCATGGTCTATGTCCCATTCTCCACCAGTGACCTGTATAACTGAAAGAACCAGAACCCCTCCTTCTCTGAGAGACCTCAAGGACTAATCTCCCTCTTGGAGACTGTTTTCTTTCCCCCCCAGCCAACCTGGAATGACTGTCAACAACTGCTCCAGACCCTTTTCACCTCAGAAGAATGGGAGCGGGTGTGCGAAGAAGGGAGGAAATTAGTCTTGGGCCCAGACAGACAGCCCACCTCAGACCCCAGGTGAATGGAGGAGGTTTTCCCTAATCCCGCCCCTCGTGGGACCCCAACTCAGATAGAGGTAAGGAGGCTCTCGATCAGGATCGCCAGACTCTGTTGCAAGGGATCCGCACGTGGCACGGAAGCCCACCAATCTGTCCAAGGTAACTGAGACCGTTCAGGGACCTACCGAGTCCCCCGCCACATTTTTGGAGCACCTCTATGAAGCCTACCGGCTTTACACTCCCATAGATCCCGAGGTGCCCGAGAACAGGCACACAGTCAATACAGCATTTATGTCACAGTCGGCCCCAGATATTTTTGAAAAATTACAAAAATTAAAAGGCTTTAAAAAAAATTATCAGAGTTAGAAAAAGTAGTCCAGAAGGTTTTTAACAACAGGGACAGTATAGAAACTGCACAAACAAAAAAACTAAATAAAATAAACTAAAAGCAAAACAAAAGCTTTCCAACAGTTAAAGCAGGCACTAGTTAGTGCTCCAGCCCTGGCGTTGCCCGACCTCCCCAAGCCTTTCCAGCTACATGTGGCTGAAGCCCGGGGAATTGCCAAAGGAGTCCTGACTCAACTCCTCGGTCCCTGGAAGAGGCCAGTAGCCTACCTCTCGAAGAAACTGGACTATATGGCTGCAGGTTAGCCGAGCTACCTGGGGGGGATAGCAGCCACGGCAGTATTACTTAAGGAGGCTTCTAAGCTCACCTTATGACAAGATCTACAGGTAACAGCACCCCACGCTATAAAACCCTACTGAGGAGCCCACTGGAGCGATGGCTGTCCAACGCCCACATCACTCAGTACCAGGTACTTTTGCTCGGCTCCCCCTCCCCTGAGGGTCAGTTTTCTGAAAACAGCGGCTCTGAATCCAGCCACCCTCCTCCCTGACAATGACCCTACACAGCATGACTGTTCCAAGGTTTTGTCATCACTGAAAAACCTCCAAGAAGATCTGACTGACCTGCCACTGCCCAACCCCGATGAAACCCAGCACACGGATGGGGGCAGTTTCGTGTCAGACGGCGTCCGATATGCAGGAGTGGCAGTGGTAACAGCAGATCGGGTAATTTGGGCCCAAGCCTTGGGATATGGGACTTCAGCACAGAAGGCAAAGCTCATCGCCCTCACCCAGGCCCTAGAGGAAAAGCAGTCAACGTCTACACGGACAGCAGGTATGCTTTCGCCCCCGTCCACGTCCACAAGGACCCTGTACAAGGAGAGAGGGCTACTGACATCAGGGGAAAAGAAAATCAAAAAGGTCCCCGAAATCCTTGCCCTACTTAAAGCCTTGTGGTTGCCAAAAGCGGTATCTGTAATACACTGCAAGGGACACCAAACAGCAGACACCGAAGAGGCTCGGGAAACACATTTGCAGACAGGACAGCCAAAGAGGTGGCTCAAAAACCAGTGGGGCCCCTGGACATCTTACCTGTCCTCCTGGCAAACCTGTTAGAAGGAACACGTAGGTACTCCACAGAGGAGTACAAGCTAGCTAACAAGTCAGGAACTCGGCTGGTGGCTAGCAGATGGGAAATATTACCAGACCAGAGGGTACTACTACCCGAGCCCCTCGGGAGGACTGTGATCAGCCAGATTCACCAGAGCACACACCTCGGATCCACGAAGCTGGCGGAGCTCCTCAGCAGAGACTACTATATCCCTAGGCTACATACCCTCTCCAAGTCTGTAATAAGGCGATGCCAGACTTGTAAACCCTGGACGAGACCCACCTGCTCTCCCCTCCACCCGGCTCAGAGGACAAGCTCCAGGAGAAAGGTAGAAGGTAGACTTCACTAAGATCCAGACATCCCAATACAATTCTAAGTATCTCTTAGCATTCATCGATACCCTCTCAGGCTAGGCAGAAGCATTCCCCACCAAGGGAAAGACAGCTCAGATAGTTACCAAGAAGCTTATCACAGAGATCCTTCCTCGATTCAGCCTCCCATTAGCTTTGGGGTCCGACAATGGCCGGGTGTTCATCGCCCAAGTAACTCAATCTTTAGCTAAGACACTGAGAATAACCTAGAAGCTACACTATATCTACAGACCCCAGAGTTCGTGGCAGATAAAAAAAATAAACAAAACCTTAAAAAAGATTTTAACCAAATTAAAACTAGAGACTGGCAAAAACTGGGTGAGCTTCCTCCCCTTTGCTCTCTTGTGAGTATGGTGCACCCCATATGTAAAGGGAATCACTCCTTTTAAAGTCATTTTCGGGTGCTCGCCTCCGCTCCTGCCAAAATTAGGACAGGAAGCACTCTCGAAACTATAACTCTAGCTTGCTCAAGTCCTTACAGGCACTCCAGGGGACAACTCAGCAGACGCAGCAGATTGTTAAAGCAGCAAATCCTGGGCCAGAGGAGCTGAAAATCCCAGTGAAGCGGCCTCAAATTCAACCTAGGGACTTCATCTGACTTAAGAGACTTCACTCCGCCACCCTTGAACCTCGCTGGGACGGACCGTTCAAAGTCATCCTCTCAACACCAACCGCATTCCAGGTCGTACTCTCAACACCAATCTCACTGCACGTGAGTAAAGGAGGCACCCCAGGAGCCGCTCCCTGAAAGATGGACCACCCAGTGTACCGAGGACCTGCTAAAGAATAGACTTACACGCAGGCCCTCCCCCTAATCTTCCTGCTGTCTTAGGCCCTGCGGGGGGCGGGGGGGGGGGGGGAAAGCCACCCCCATAAGCTAGTAAACTATACCTGGGAGCTCACCCGCAACTTAGATGAAGCCCTGGTCTCCCAGGTCCACACTCCAGGCACCACCGACAAAGAATCCATGATTTGACCAGTGGGGAATGTGCTAGAGTGGCACATTTTATTTTTAAACTTCCTGTGAGGATATTTTAAGAACTCTAATCACAAGGCTTATAGGGGATTTTCCAAGATTTGTTTTTTTGCTCAGTTTGAGGAGGAAAGTGGTCTTGCAAGGCGTGTCAGGCCATAAAAACTGAACAATACACTGCCCTGGGGGGGG